TCCACATGTAAGAGGTTTATAGTTCCATTCAAAAAAAATATTCAAATTCCAATTTGCCAGTAGTCCAACGTGATAGTACTCCAAAGTAAAGCTGTGAAGACTCTTCATAGCTGCTCTTAGCTCTAGTTTCTATTATTATTATTATTATTATTTATTTTTTTTTTTTTTATGGTTTCATAACATCCCTTTTGCTCTATTTACACCACAGGACATGACTATCAAGGCTTTATTTTCAATTTTATTCACTCTTTGTGTGCAGTTGTTGTTGTTTTTGTGCTCTAAAAACAAAGTTGAGATGATCCTCTCAAAAGAAGCCATGTAAGGCTTTGTACACACGGACCTGCGTGGGTTGTGAAACAGCGTATGTCTCATTCCATCAGATCGGGATGCTGTGATCGCTTCGCCGACACTTGGATAACTGCAGCAGTGAGAAAGGTAATACTGTACTGTGAATCATCTTATTTGAAGTTTTGATCATGTCATTGTTATAAGTATACATCTTTTTTGTGTAAAATCTCATTCATGCAATTTTTCATAAGAATGTTGACCGTTCATGCTGAATTCCTGTCCGGCTTCATATGAGACCTCTTATTTCTGTTTCATCCCCCCCGCCACCTCGTCATTCCTCTCACTTCACTCTGCCTCGTCTGTTTGTCCCATACTTTGCTTCTCTAACATCCTGCCCAACCGACAGGAATAAGGCTCCCTAACAGCAGCACCTGAATCAACCCTTTGTTTCATCACTTTCTGTGTTGAACAGAAAACTCCCTCATGTCGATGTGGCTGAACGTCAGCTTCACTAATGTTTACACACATCCTGTCTTGGCTCACATTTCCACAGAGCACATTTGTAACTGTTTGTAAAATCTGCTTCAGTCGGAATCATAGCTTTTTTTTTTCTCGAAAACCACTGGGGTACGGCCCCACAAATTAAAAGCTAAACCTGCTGATTTTAATGTTAAAAAAAAAATAAATAAATAACAATGACAAAGCAAATTAAAACAACATCGTTAAATTTCATGAAATAAATGATTAATTTATTTACATCTGATTGCAACAAAAATGGGAAATGTTTTAAATAGTATCGTGTACTAATGTACTGTCAGCAATATATCCTGGCTCGGATATAATTTTCCCCTATGCTACCTGTGATCTAGGGCACTCTTTACTTTAGTCATTTTGCAATTTGCATCAGTAAAAAGTGAATATTTTGTCTATAATGAATTAGGTAACTTTTAACATTATTTTTTTATGTTCAATTTACACTATTCAAGACGCATTTTGTCACTTGCGGCCAATTGAGGGGTCAGGAAACAACCAATCATGGCGCTTATGAAGTCCACAAGCTAAGCTGTGATCGGTCGTTACCAGAGCCCTGAGTACTTGTGATATCATTTTCAGTCCACAGAAAGTGAAAAAAATGTTTTTAAAACATTATTTTTGATATTTACATAAAGTATCCCTGTCAATATAGTGCTGTTATCTCACCTCCGCCTCTCTTTTTCTACTTGCAACTTCACTCTTAATAATGTTACTGCATACATTATGTCTTCACATTTTTTTCTCCTTGTACCTTTTTAGTCACAAAAAAAAAAAAAATGGGACAACGGGGCATAGATTGTCTCCAGATGGGAGCAATAGTCACAACCACATGCATGTGCGCGCACACACACACACACGCACACACACACACACACAGACACACACACTCGCTCTCTTTTTTTGCATGTAACATGCCCACTCTTGGTCCTTAAACTGGCCTTGTCTATTCCCTTACGACACCCTCAGATTTTCCATGACAGAGTCACTTTAAATGGGAGCTTTTTCTGGTCAGGAAACGCAGTATAATGTTGACATTTGGTCTCTCTATGGCTTCTCGGGAAATAATCATCACTTGGTGCAAAATAACTTTCACTTCATCCAACCACACAAATCCAAATGAGAATAATAACATACAGTCATTAATGGAGCCCGCTTTGCATTTTGTGGTCCACAGGTTTGGGCAGTAATTAACACATGTACCATGTATCCACATTACAAAAAAATGTAACTGTATTCTGTTACCGTTATGAAAAATAAAAACCACAATCAGAATTGAGGTACATTTATCATACACAGGGATTCTGCAGGATGACAATTTCCATTCGGACAGAGAGACGCCTCCAGCCTGGTTGTTTAGTTGAGCCCTCATTGCTACAAATGAATAAATTGTCATAATATGTCAAACTCAACGCGCTGCCAGACTCCATTTGCACGGTCGTTGTGAGCGAACGGCAGATGTGGTCATCGTCAGTCCAGTGAATCCGTCAATGAACTACCGTCAGCATTTCAGGCCGGCCCAGTCTGTCCGAGCCGTCGGTGGAAGCTAAATGGCGACGAGTACGGACTTACCGGTACAATGACACATGCATGTGCCGCACACCTGACACCCACAAACATCAATGATGTGTCCCATATTCTTTTTATTTCATCAATCACCACATTGGGCATACGTGTGTGTGTGTGTGTGTGTGTGTGTGTGTGTGTGTGTGTGTGTGTGTGTGTGTGTGTGTGTGTGTGTGTGTGTGTGTAGGTTGTTTTTATTTGTTTTTCTTCATTTGGCTGCATTTAGGCTTGTGTGGCGCCTGACTGTGACATGGAAAATACATCCTCAATGCCAATTGGCTGTCGCCAATGAGGGATGGACTGGGCCCATGTGGGTCAGGCTAAAATACTGACAGAAACAGTGAAGGTCCGTCAGTCTGACGAAATGCCCACCTCTGGCAAACAGGTCTATTGTGAGGGGGAGGTGGACAAACTGGCTGTGGAATGTACTCATTGAAGGACTGATTAATCTCAAATAAAATGTACAAAGACTGCTACGTATGGCTGAGCTCGCTGGTAGCCTGCTGCGCGAATAACTGAAGTCAAGTTACCCTCCCATCACAGATTTGCAATTTAAACATGACATGAGTCATGAAAATGGCTAAACTTCTCACTTGGACAAAAGTGTGTGTCTCAGTGTGTGTGTGTGTGTGTGTGTGTGCGCGCGTGTGTGTGTGTGTGTGTGTGTGGGTGGGGAGGGGGCCACAAGCATGTATGTGGATGCGATGTCGGGGGGAGGTAAAAGGCTGCATTAACGTTGCAAATGTTGCCTTTATAAACTTCATTCGTCATCTATCTTCCAGTTTCTCATAACAAAAACTACTTTATGGAACAAGCAAATCTACTTTCCCTCGCTGGATGAATCGAAGTGTTTGCGTGTCTGTCTGTCTGTTATTCGATCAATGTCAGGGATGAGCAATTGGCGGCCTGCCCACCCTGTCATAGAAACACTCTCAATTCAGTCCCAAAAATTTAACCCCTTATTTATCCAGCCATCCATTTTTCTGATCCGCTTTATCCTCACAAGAGTCGCGGGGTGTGTCTGAGCCTATCCCAACTGTCTTTGGGCAGCAGGCAGGGGACACCCTGAACCGGTTGCCAGCCAATCACAGGGCACACAGAGATGGAACAACCATCCGCGCGCACATTCACAGCAAGGGACAATTTTGAGTGTCCAATCAGATTTTGGAATGTGGGAGGAAACCAGAGTACCCGGAGAAAACTCACACAGGCACAGGGAGAACATGCAAACACCACACAGGAAGGCTGGAGTTGGAATCGAATTCGGTACCTCTGCAGTGTGAGGTCGACACCCTAACCACTGGACCACCGGGCCCTTATTTATTTATTTATCTATTTCTTTATTTTTGTGGGGGAAATTCTCAGCATGTTCCCTCGACTACAGTGCACCCCCCCCACCTCCACACTCAATTTTTGGGGTTTACAGATCCCACCACCAAATTTTCCCGATGCATTTCAATGGCAATCCAACTACTGTAGATGTGGATTTCTGCTATTTGCGCGGTGGGATGTATGTCCTCCATATTTAAAATGGCATTTTTCTCATATCTGGTTCGGAAATGCCTGGCCCCGCCAGTGGCACTGATGAAATAGGATGGGCCGCTCCAACATTTAGGTTGCACATCCTTGATCTATGTGAGGTGATGACTTCAGTCACAGCTCAAAAACATCTCACCTCTCGCAACAAAGCAATTGTTTCAAAGGCCAAACAGTTAAATGAATCTGTCTGTTTGACAATCTCATCTGCAGACCGCTGAACAAGTGGTTAGCATATCTGCCTCACAGTTCGTATGCTTTGGATTTGAAGTCCGATGCTCTGGCTTCCTTCCACATTACAAAATCATTCATATCAAATCGTATATAGAAATATAAATCATTGTGATATGTATTTATTTATAGCCTTTTTTGGAATTTTGGTTTTGGTGTTGGTACTTGGATCACATTCCTGACTATATCCATTTTTGACTTTGTAACAGGTAACTGGTAACTGTATACATTTTTAAAGTAACCCTCCCAACCCTGGTGGTAGAGTACAAAAATCCTTATCTGTTTGCAACATCCCTCAAGTCATCAGCTTGATTCACATCCAATAAGCATGATAAAACATCAGCAGCCACCAAAGCTAAACAAGCATCTTTTCATTTACCATTCCACTGAGTGGATTTGTCTGGTAGGTGTGGGGGTTATATGCTAACACGCAAACCTACACACTGAATGACTGTTTGCCATGAACAAACTTTCCACTTCTTGGCACACACAGGCTCTTTTCCAGCATGTATGTGTGTGTGTGTGTGTGTGTGTGTGTGTGTGTGTGTGTGTGTGTGTGTGTATGTGTGTGTGTGTCTGTGTGATTGCAGGCTAAGTAAACCCCATAGTGGTCCAGGAGCAAAATGAATAAAAGTGCCTTTTGTCAGACATCAGGCTAGGTCTAGGAAGCGGAGTGGGTGGGGCAGGGGTTAGCCAGTCTGGAACAAACATGAATGTACCCTCAGTTCCCTCAGACATCGCGCGTCCCTGACTACTTTCACAGCGGCACTAGAAGAGAGGAGGTGGACCTCAATGTGGAGTCAGGAGGGGCGCCCCGAGTGAAGGTGGAGGGAGTATGAAGTGTATCAGTGAGTGAGCGGGAATGAGGGGGTGGGTTTAGCCAAACAGGCACTGAGCTCATTGGAACAGCACTGTTATTTTATCCTCCTACCAAGCATGTAGATTTTGGAAGGCATACAAGCCACTAGTACACCAGCTCCCTCAGTCGCCCCAGACTACAGGAGCAGAGAAGAGACTGTCGGAATCCTAAGCATCCTCACAAACCTCAGCCCGCCCGACATACCAGAGGGCATCTCTCGGTTGGCACTCAAATCTCAATCTTCACACTCTGAGACTTGGATGGCTTCTTGAGTGAGTTTTGACTGTCCTTGATTTTTGCATCATTTGATTTTTCTTCAACTACATCCTCATTATTTTCTCATTGCGCTTATGTATCTGAGAAGACAGAAAGATTACACTGTGCTATAAATATTTGTAATTGTCGGATAATCCCCCTCAGAAAAGTGAAAGGGTAAGATTCAGAAAGGTGACCTAATTGGATGTTTTTTGTCTTATTCTGTTTCTCCCTCAGGTGTCCAGTGCTCCTGCGGAAAATGACGCGAATGGCTCATTGACCCCTGGATGAGGTATGTTTATCCTTTATTTTGCTCTCAGGCCAAATTTTTATTTCGGTATTTAGCATTTTGTGAGTACATTAAACCTCCACTATATTATGGTGGACTTTACCCGGAACCGGTATTTCACACGTTTTATTTATTTAACCAGCTCAGGCAATCACGAACAGTTTCTCATTCAGAGTGCTGACCTGACTTCAGACAGCAGGGCAAAAAGCATAGCAAGACGGACAGCAATTTTTTTTCCCAACTGTTTGTAAAATTTTTGTGTTATCCGTTGCTCTTTCAGTATTTTTATCTCTAGAAATGTGTTTGTATGGTTTTTAAGGTGTGTTGCAAGACCTGCAAAATAACAAACTGCTTAAAAATAAAAACATTCCTGGGTGTATTTAAACAGGGTATTTCTATTTTGAAAATTTTCACTTCGCAGTGTGTATGTGTGTGTGTGTGTGTGTGTGCGTGTGTGTGTGTGTGTGTGTGTGTGTGTGTGTGTGTGTGTGTGTGTGTGTGTGTTGGTTCTGGAAGGCAACACTCGCAATGGACGGTGGGTCATTGTATCGCTGACGATGTGCCTCTGTTTTAGACATAAAGGTAAACAATCTGGAATCTTAAAACTGAACTGTTTTTCATCAGTTACCCAGAACACCAAGCAGTCCGGGTAGATGTCCGGATTCAGTAGATGGACAGATGAACTGATGGTTAAAATGCATGGATAGATGATTACCTGTAGCCAGAGAGCCATCCAATATAAATGAGCACCACCAAAACTTTGAGCACTTCCTTTACTCAAAGATCCAAACATGAACGGGACATATGATTGTGGGAATTTTTTCCCAAATATATAACAGTAAATGTTATTTTGTCACACGTTCATGCATCAATATTTCTGGCAGATTCGAGCTCATTCATGTTTCTGTGACCTCATCAGTTAGTTATGTCCTATCCAAAAACCCCGCTCATGACGGCTTTTCATCATGTTGCGGTAGTTCAGAAGAAAACCTCATGGCAGTAGCGCTGTCCCAGTTTTACTTCTATTGCACATATCTTCTCAACTGCAGTTACTTCCCTTTCTCATTTGTAGCTCTTGTTTCATTTTTAAAACGACAGTTTAACGGGGCGGGGGTAATATTTTCGACAGCAGGAAAGAAAGCAGTGAAAAAAATGAATTGGGACTAGAGTGAGGAAGCAGTTGGGGAGGAACAAGTAAGGTTTTGCACAGTGACCGCTACTGTTTCTGAATGCTCCACACACTGCTGTTAATGAGAAAAAGATGTCAGCATGACGGAGGGAGGAGAATGGTTCCACGAGCAGCTCTGTTTTTAGACGCGCGCTCTCTAATGCCTATACATTCACAACTGGACTCATTGTTCACCAGTGTATTCTTTTTTTAAATACATACATAAATATCCTAAATACACTCATGTCCTATCCTGGCCAATATTTGTGACACACAACACTGCCGTTAAACACCCAGTACACGTATGAAGTCACAAACTCGGGTTATTTGACCCAAGCCATGTGAAATACCACACTAACTTGCTGGTTGTTGAGCATTGGAGTGATCCCCACCCCATCCCCCGCACCACCCCAACACCCCCGGGGAGGCTATCTCAAAAGAGAAAGTCAGCCGCATCACTCTGTCGACTTCTATATCTCCCACTGAAACCTTCCACACAGTTCGAAATGATAAATCCTTGAAACTTTAATTGATTTTGATTCTGGTGCTTGTGTTCAGAGAGAAGCACCAGGACAATGGCAGAATGTACTTTGTCAATCACAACACACGAATCGCTCAGTGGGATGACGCACGAACCCAAGGGTGAGTCTGCATTTGCTGGTGGTTTTAGAAATGAATGTTTGTCACCTGCATTAACTAGTTCAATGTCAGCTATTTGCATTGATCACAACCCTGGAGTTCCAATGATTTTTGACTGAAATTTTCAGACCTGCAGAATATAGTGGTCTATGATTTTTTATTCATCAAATCTACAAAATGAGAGAATAGGCTCTCTTTCCTTTCACCAGAAAAAAAGTTTGATTCTACCTTATTCTGTTCTCAAGTAATTACATGATGACCTTGTCATCCTCATCATATTTCAAAGATCATTGTTGTACTTTTCCATTGATGACACACACATACTTCTGCTAACTCTCATCTCAATTCAGCTCAACTCAACTTTAAAACAACCACCGCTGAATACCAAGTGCAGTACATGGAGCAAAAAGAATCCAGACATCAACAATAAAGCAAGACATTAATCACAAAGACAGTAGAAAGCACAAAAACAGTAAAACTAAGACCAAGTCCGAGTCATGCTGAGTCAAAAGCCAAAGAATACAAATAAGTTTTAAGACAAGTTTCAAAGATGGCCAGCGACGGGGCTTGCCTAATTTCAGTGGGAGGTCATTCCAGAGAGAGGGACCAGCAGTGGAAGAGGCTCGATTCCCTCTGAGCCTCCGCTTAGTTCTGTGGTAGTGTCTGGTCCGCAGAGACACTGGGCAGGTGCGTAGGGGCGGAGGAGCTCAGAGCGGTAAGGTGGAGCGAGGCCATTTAAAGATTTGAAAACAAAGAATAGGATCTTGAAAAGAAACTCTAAAATGTAGCCAGTGAAGTGACTGTCACTCTGCGATATAGACATCGATGTGTTTTGATTCTAATGGACAACTTAAGCCATTTTTTGCGTTTAAAAAGTTCAGCATTTACTCTTCATGCGCTTCTGACTCCGAGGCCTGTTGCACCTTTTTTTTGTTTTGGACATGTCTTGAATATTCCATAATCAAAGTAGCGAGATACCAGTGATGCACAGAAAATACGCAAATGAACAACTGGCTCATATAATTCCACACATTTTTGTGAGTGACAAGAGATATGAAGGATAATTTGAATGACCCCAGTCGAGACTTGAACAAACTACGGTCCTGGGGTAACATCCGGCCTTCCGGGAGTCTCTGACTGGCCCTCACATTGACCATTAGTATTGGGCATCGTTTGAATGTGGACAGTTGTGGTTCCGATTGCAGTTCCTCGATTTGATTCCGGTTCCTAACGAGTCTCAATTTCGATTCTTAACAAAAGAAAAAAAAACAAGTTTGCATGGTTTAAATGACAGAGCTAACCAGTTATTTTGGGGAGGATGAAATTATTTGAACTTCTTTTAGCTGTTTATGAACTTAACTGAATTTCCCAAAGGGTATTTTTTTATTCAGCATAACAGTATCAAAGAAGAGGAGTGCTTCATTTTTTGAGAACCTCAAGTAAATGCAACAAATCAGCAGTTACTTGAAGTGCCGCTGAACACCCACCCTTTTTTTTATGTAGGAAAAAAAAACATGACAAACACAAAAGTTGTATTTGAGGGGGGTGCAATGGAAACAGTCCACGAAAACATGTCGTATGTGATGCATTATGCATGGATTTACTGTGTATGCTCAGCTAAATATTAGCTTGCCATTTACATTTGTGTTTACTTGTTGTTTTTGACTATGACTGCAATAGACCTTTTGTACGTCGATTGCTACATGTGCCTGCTAAATTTCGTAGGCCTAGGTCAAACGTACCGGGATTGGTTTTATTTTATTTTTCCACTCTTGGTGGCGCTGCAGAAACATTTTGTTTTCATGGTTTATGACAACTTTAAAATATTCCTCCAAGGCAAATGAGTGTTCCAAGTTTCGTGAGTTTTCATGCATGTTTAGGTCTCCATCCATCCATCCATCCATCCATCCATCCATCCATCCATTTTATCCTCACAAAGGTTGCGGGGGGGTGGGGTGCTGGAGCCTATCCTAGCTGTCTTCGGGCAGTAGGCAGAGGACACCCTGAACCGGTTGCCAGCCGATCGCAGGGCACACAGAGACGAACAAATGTTTAGGTCCCCATAAATGTGATTATTCATTTTTGTGAATAAAAATAAATACATCAATAAATACTACCACGACTACTAATGAAGATTGAACGAATGAATGAATATGAAGAAGAAGAAGAGGAGGAAGAAGAAAAAGAATAGAGACTTCACAGTGGTCGCTACTTCGGCCATAATTAGAGCTGAGAGCAGTGAGAAGGGCCCTTGCAGCCCTTGGCTCCTTTAAGGTATTCGCACATTGGGATAATGGCACATTCGCAATGGAATTTTAAGAAAATGAAGAATATCAAATTAAAACAGGGCCCATTACGTCGATCCTGATCGCCATCAACAGAACAGTTAACATAAAATGACAAAATAATACCACACAACACATAAGACGCAGACGGTCATACAATCTTAAGCACTTTTTCTGCATACACTTTGTTGTTTGAAGCAGTTATCGATGAAAGAGGAGAGAATCAAAGTGTCCTTTCACCAGTGGATCAGAGACATCATGCTGAAAATCTGCTACAAGCTAAGTTTGAAAGCAAACAAGAAGCTGTAGCGTCCATTGACAAAAAAAGAGATTGGCTCACATCTCCTGTCCCATGTAAATCCGCTTCAATTCCAAGCGGCGACTTCCAGTGCCACATACGCATCTGCGCTCTGCGCTGACGCTCCTTTCTTCTCATCGTCGGCTCCACAAGCCACCCATCCAGCCGCAGACTGTCCAACAGCACCCACATTTCTGCTGAACAAAACTGAGCTGTGAAAAATGCTGCACATTACAGGCGCAAAAAACACAAGCGCCCCGACAGTCAAATGGCGCCGACATTCCTGCCAATCAAAATCAGTGCTGGTACATGCGTGCTGCCAAGAAGGCGCAACCACCAAGCACAGATTCTTTTCCTTTGACTAATGTCATGGACAAAAAAATTCTGAAAACAATCCACATCTGACGTCTCTTGAAAGGTGATGATTGTGTAGGTACGAGGATTCCGCCCAACAGCAGTAATATTTAAAATAGTTTAAGTTCGGTGTTTTGTAGTTAACCTTTGCAAGGTCCTCACTGTTTGTAATTCGCTTTGCTAAAAATGTATCATCTATGTTGTGCATCATTAGATCATGAATGTGAAGCCATGTGACCCTCCAGAGATTCGTACATCA